AAATTATTTGATATCAAATTACATGGCAATAAGTGATACTGGATTTCATAAGCTAAACAAACATGCATAGGATTTACCTAGCCCTATATTTGAAAAAGGCACCTAGCTCTTCCTCTTTTTTTTCTTTTTAATTAAAGCACAGAGACAATTAGAGAGTCCTATAAATAATCTGGCCCTGTGGCTTGTAAGGATTAATAGGTGATAATCAGCATCCATAAGACTCCATGAACAAGTACAGCCCATGGAGTAGTGCTGTTTCAGGAGTGTATCATAGTGTGCTCAGAATTGCCTATGCAGCTACATCTGGACCAACTGAAGATTCGGGATAGTTTTAAATGTCAACATTATTACAGTTCATTGCAGTAAATAGTCAGGAGGTTATAAGACATGAGCAACTGTGAGTGCGTCCTGTTGATCCACAAATGGATGCCATTGGTGCACAAGTTGGATTTGTGCACAAACTCTTTTCCAGCAGAAGCTGTGAGCCCAAAGTTATCTCCAAATAGAGTGCTATTTTGGTCCAGGGAAGTCCATTCATCCAGAATGAAGGATGGAAAATTCCAAGAAGCAGGGGACCACCAAATTCCAAACCATTCAATCTTGCTTGTGTTAAACCATAGCCTGTTCTTTCCCACACAGATATTGAGAAATAACTTTAATAACATAATTTGTTTGGCCCCGGTTGACATGTATAGCTGGATAACATTAGCATACTAATATCACCTATATCCTGCCACTGCTAACAATCAATGCCATCCCCTCATCATTTTATACAGAAGCTGAATAGGAGTTAGAAGAAGATAGACCTGAAAGCGGGTTTTATCTTACCACCATAAACAACAACTGGAATTTGTCCAGAAGGAAAAAGAACTACTGCAACATTGTGCTTTCCACATCTAACCCCTGAAACCAGGCCAGAAAGATACTGTGGTTGATGACATTAAAAATTGCTGGGAGATCAAGGAGGGCTAACATGGGTATACCACCCACATCCAAATCCCACCAAAGATCAGATACAAGTATGATCAATGCCATCTTAGTATTGCCTCTCAATTTAAAACCCAAATGAAAAGGATCCAAATGAACCATTTCCTCCAAGATTCTCTGCAGTTGCAACCTGACTACATTCTCAACAATATCCCCTAAAAAGACAAGAGATGGATGAGTAAGGCCCAGTGAAACCATTCATTCTCTCAAGAATGCATTCATACATTCTCTCTCAGGAAGTCTTCACCAATCAGGAGGGAAGACTCTGTCTACTGCCTCAGGAGCAACAGGCTTCAACTCTTCCCAGATAATCATGCTAAATTGTACTTCACTCAACTCCTCAGGACATATGTAGAATCAGATTCAGTGTAAGGTCCTGCCTCATCAGTCTTCTCAAGAAAGCAGAACTCTTGAAACAAAAGCCATTTCAAAAGGAAACTTTTATTGAAAGATTGTGATAGCAAGAGATATAGGCAGAAACCAGTGGTGGGTTCCTCCCGGTTCCGCCCGGTTCCACCGAGCCGGTAGCGGTGACGATATGATGTCACTGAACAAGTTCTCTTTGTTCAGGAGCTGGGTCCTCCCGCCCCCTCCCCGCATTATTCTTACCCAATCTATTCGCTGCCTCCCAAGTCCCAGCTGATCGGCTAGAAGGAAAAAAATTGTTTAAACTCTTGCTGCGGGGCTTCAAAGGGCTGCCCTACAGCTGATCAGTGTTAAAAGGCAGTGTGGTGGTAGACCAGAGTGCTCAAAAAGCAAATGGGTAGACCGGTGCCTCCAAAAACAAAAGCAAATGAGTAGACCGGTGCCTCCAAGAACAAATGGGTAGACCGGTACAGCTCTGCAAGCAGTTAAAAGCCTGGTAGACCAGTACCTCTGCTAAATCCTAAAGAATTATGACCATCAAGCCACACCCACAAAATAAGCCATGCCCACAGAACCAGTAGTAAAAAATTTTAGAACCCACCCTTGGCAGAAACTAAGTTTTCCCATTTAAAACATTAGATTAAACTTTTGCAGACAGAGCTCCTCCCAAAGTCCAATACATCATCCAGCCAATTCTGAGGTGTGAAGATGTTATGGGACACTCAGGCTGAGAAGCTGATAAACACCGGTCTCCAAGGCAATGCTGCTGCTCTTCTCTGGAGACAAGATAAGGCAGCTGGCTCGAGGCACATTCCTTTCGCCCCTCCCAAGGTCCTGAATGTTACAGCAAGGCAAAGCAAGAAATAGAAACAGAAACCCCATACAGAGATCCTCCCAAGCCTCCCCGCTCCCAACAGAATGACCCCAGCCTTATAGGAATCTATGGGACCTGACACTCAGAGTAGATTCAAACATTTATTTATTATATTTCTATACCGCCTTTCTCCCATAGGACTCAAGGCAGTGTACAGTCAAGAAAAATACAGACACACAAACATCATAAAATTGCTAATTAAAATTATTACTTAGTTTGATCAATTAAATAAAACCCAGAATTAGATAACATTAAAAAAAAAATCATTCACATGTTCATATGTTTAGCCCCGCCTGTTGAAACATCAGGGTCTTGAGGGCACAGCGGAAAGCACAGAGATCAGGGATATTCCGTATCTAACAGATGCTTATAATTATTTTCACAGTAGTTCTTTAGATGTCCCTTCAGGTCATTCTTTCCCAGTGTCACCTTAAACTGATAAATGGATATTTAAAATTCCATTGGATTTAAACAGGAAAGCAGTTTCCAATTGAGTGTTAAAAATAAAACTTCCTAACAATAAGAACAGTGGAGAGTGTTTCAATCATTCATAAAAGTACTGGGCTCTTTTTCACTGAATGCATCCAAGTGGATGGTAGCCAGCCAGTATTCAGAGATGGCTCTTTCCAATCCCATGACTCTATCACAAAGGTTTTCTGGCTTAATCTGTGAGTAATTGTTAACTCAGTACCATTAATTTACTAAACGCAAACAGTGATTTACTATCTTCCTTAATACAAATGAATCACAGGAATAAGGTGGGGTCGATGATATTTTCCAAGAATACTATGACAGGAACCTAAATAAGTACAAAAATGAAAACAAATCCATATACTGTATTTTTCAGTGTATAAAACGCACTCCCCCCCCCAAAAAAAATGTGGGTGGAAATGTTTGTGCATCTTATACAGTAGAACCTCTGGTTATGAACACTTCTGACCATGACCAAATCGGGTTCTGACCAAAAAATTCACAATTTTTTTTGCAGCCAATTTCCCCTTCCATGCCATTTTTTTGTAAGCACCAAATTTCCAAAATTAGGTTCAGGTCATGACCAAATCCATTTGCGACCAATGTTATGGAACGAATTATGGTCGTGACCAGAAGTTCTACTGTACAGTGAATGTTGCTGAAGCCCCACCCACCCACCCTACCCTTCTGCTTCCCAGCAACTTGCCTCCTTGCAGCAAACACCAAACAGCCTGGTCAGCTTCAGCACAGCCTGAGTTAGCACAAGCAGCTGATTGGCAGTTGGATCTGCCTCCCAGAATACCTCCTATCAGCTGTTCCAGGCTGCGGGGATCGCCACTGCCCATTGCTGCTGTCGCCGCCCAATTTGATTCAAATTTTGTCATCTTTGAATCTCCATGGTATGTCCTTAATTCAGTCAGCTGCTCGTGCTAAATCAGGCTGTGCTGAAGCTGACTAGGCTGTTTGCTGCAAGGAGGCAAATTGCTGGGAGGCAGAGGCAGATTTTTTTTTCTTGTTTTCCTCCCCAAAAGCTAGGTGTATCTTATAGTCCAGAGCATCTTAGAGTCCAAAAAATACAGTATTTATTTTTGTTATGTTCTTATACAGCAGGGGTGTCAAACCCTGCTCGATTTCACTGAGGGCCGCATCAGGGTTGTGTTTGACCTTGGGGGGCTGGGGTGGGCATGGCCAGGGTGGGTGGGGCCAGATCGACATCACTCATGTCGGGGGCGCCTGTGGCGGCCCGAGTGCTCTGCCAGTGAAAATTGGCTCCCGAGCTCCATTTTCGGCTGTAATGGCTTCTTGCAACCCACTTCCAGCCAAAACGGAGCTTGGGAGGGCCACCTGTGGCCCTCCCAAGCTCTGTTTTAGGCTGTGACAGTTTCCTGCAACCCTCTGCCAGTAAAAATGGAGCTTGGGAGGGCACCACAGGCCGGTCTTTCACTGTTTCCAGGGCAACCCCACAGGTAAGCTCTAAGCACCCCGCAGGCCAGATCTGACCCATGGGCCTTGAGTATGACACCCCTGTTATACAGGGTTTGCTCCACACTCTTTCACATGAATGGATTCTAAAAATCCTAAATTCATTCTCTTTTCTACATTATTGATGTCAGATGTAAATGCCTTATTCTCCAATGTGTAAATAATGTATATATGGAACATCAGAGGTTAACTTATTCTTTGGACTTTAATGTATTCATAACTTACCACTCCCATTCCTAGCTCCACCCCTTGTATATATAAGGAGCCACCCTCACCATTCTCGTCGCTTCTACCTTGAATATTCAGTGAATATAGAATGCCTATCATAATTAAAAAGAAATATATTTAAAGCTCTAACTCCTATTATCTTTATTGAGTCTGATCCTGAAAATATTGCAACAATTGAAATATATTATGGTTTAAGTAGGCAGTGCCTTATAGAATTTTTATAAACATTTTGGAGGAAAGGTTGTTAAAAGTTTAGATCATCTGGATCTTACGTGCTATTTCATATGAAATTCATGAAGTGAAAGTTAAAATTCTTGGAAAATAATGCACAAAATGGTTCTTCTCACATTGATCCTGTGAAGAATTGATACTGCTCACACATTTAGATTATAATCCTGCACACTGAACTAAAAGAACATTTCTTATATAGTGGTCAAAGAACTGGACTAGAATGAAGCAATTCAAAGACAAGACTTGACTCAGCTATAAATCAAAACAACAACTTCTACCTAACACAGTACATGTGTATAAATATGCATACAACTGAATTTGCTGTGGATTAAGGTCTAGGACAACTCTACAATTTATTCACCTGAGTTTGGAGTAGCATCGTGCAATCCTCTTTTCAGACCTATTTAGCTTCGTGAAAACTCCAGAGGAGCCTATGGAAATGATCAAAAATATTTTCAGAGATGGAGTCACAATAAATTGAAGGTTTTTAAAAGTTCAGATTTACTCACCATGATTTTTTTTCTCCTGTTCTCTTTTCATACAAATATCAGAGCCTCAAGAGGGCAATATTAGACCAAATAACCTGCAAGCTTATACCAGAAAATTCAGATGAGATCAGAACATTTAATGTTGCTTTGTAGCTACTTTTCAAGAATAATAAATATTTTTGAAGTTTTTCCTCTATGTATATTAAAATTATGCAATTTTGTTTTTTGGAAATTTCTTTTACTTTTTTCTGTCACAATAGTAGATATTCTGTTGGAAGGGCAGATAAAGAGGGCAAAGAAAAGGATTTTTTAATTGGCAAAATACAGTGGCTGTTGACATGGAGCAAAACAGCCAGAGTGAGTATACTCTATTGAGGACAATCACCTTGGCTGTTCTGCTCCAAAGTGCATGTCAACAGCTCCTTTCCTTGAAGATCCCTTTCTCCTTTTCTTTTGCATACCCTTTCCTCTGCCCTCTTCCTCTGCCCTTCCAACCTCAATAGAGAAGAATACAATGCCAGAAGCTGAAATTTTAGCTATATGGTGAACATCAAGTTGTCTTAAAATTACAACATATTAAATCCACAGTATGGCTGTTTTCCCCGTTTTTTTTCCTCTATGGAAAAAATGCAGCTACAAAATGCAATTTAACAGATTAGTAACTATGTACAAAATGATACAAAATGTTATTTTGACAACTTATTCCAATATTTCTCCCAATTGATTAATAGAAACACATTTAGACTGGCAAGGAAAATTGCAATGTAACTGCCTGAATATAACCCATTACAATGTGTGTTTATAACCTCATACATAAGAAAAACTGTATCAGTCAATGCAATTTCTTTGATAAAAATTCATTTCACTGTTCTGTATGGATCTTATGAATTTCCACAGCTTAGCAGGTATTTGTCTCCCTGATGGCTGATTAAATCTTTTGAACAACTTGAGCAGACCACTATACCAGAACTATAGTGCCATAATAGTTGTACAACACAATGGCATCCACCAGTCCCAAAATGTAGTTCATATCCTGATTTGCCAATACAGTTTAATTTGACCTCTTTCTTCATCTGCTACAAAGAATTGGATCATGAATGAAACTTCAAAGTAGATCCAGATTTTGATTCACTTTGATTAGAAAGCCACTGTATTCTGCCAATGTGGCATTAAAAAAAATCTGTTTTAGACTCATAATGTAACATAATCTCTGTTTACACTTGTATTTCCTGAACATTATGATATAATAAAATACAACCATAGCTCTTTCTTTAATTTTTAAGTTATAGCATGAATACAAAAGCAATTGTATATGTTCATTGCACCTCAGTTTTCAATTCCCCTAATGCTACTCCAGTCATGTACATGACTCACTCAGGAACTTACATTGCCCATTGTTTATTCATTTATGATGCTGGCCCACCCTAGCAAAGAGCCTAGTGTTATTACTTCAGTTTGTGATGGAGCATGAGCTCTTTGCTTCTAGTGGATCTGGAAGGAAATTGGGTGAATCCCCTGAATGCTGTAGGCTTGAGTCATTGAGGGAGGAGCATTCTTCAATAACTCAACACAGCTGGGTGCAGGTACTTATATGAAGGAAAACTGATTTAATTGAATCATAATACAGTCTTCTGGCTTCAGTCAGATTGACTTGGTTAAGTCTCCTATTTAAAAAATGTCATTAGCTCAGTTTTCCTGGAGAGATAGATATGGAGAAAAGAATGAGCCAGAGAAAGGAGCAGCCATGCATATATTTGTAGGAGAGAGTGAGAAGATATGACTACAGACTGTCCCCTATGGCTAAGGTCTTGTTTGCAGTGAAATGTTTGCCCTTTATTATTTATTTTTGCCGTTTGGGAAGATTTTTAACATATACTATTAATATTGATAGCCATGGGGCTGGTTAATGCCTTTTTAATTCTGAATTTTAAGTATTTTATTCTTGTTAACTGTTTTTATTATAATATTTATATATAGTTTTTATGTTTTTATGAGTATTTATACGTTGCCCAGAGTTGCTCTATGAGGGAGATGCTAAAGGTTAAGGAGTCCCTGTAGAGTTTACTCTGCTAATCGCGGCCAACTCTAGGGGGCGGTGCTCATCTCCGTTTCAAAGGCCATTCAGCCAGTTGTCCAAACACATTTCTGTGGTCAGGTGGCCAGCATTTGGTCACAGAGAGGTGTTATCTTCCCACCAAAGTGGTACCTATTTATCTACTTACTTTTGCATGCTTTTGAACTGCTAGGTTGGCAGGAGCTCACCCTATCGCTGGACCTTGGGTCTCAAACTTGGACTGCTCGCTTTCCAGCCGACAAGCCCAATGTCTTAACTGCTGAGCCACTGCACCACACATGAGGGAGATGGGCAGTTTCTAAATATGATAAGTAATAGCATTCTTCAGATTTTCAGCCCTTTTAGATCTTCAGATTTTAATTAAGTTAGTAGGGAGTAGGGAGATCTTGAATTAAGTGCACCCATAGATGCAAAGGACTAAGATATGCTTTATCTCATTTCACTAACAGCCTGTTTTGAAGAAATTAAATCATGGTGAACTCTGAATTGATTTTAGAAGTACAACCATATTCATTCTAACAGGTATTACACTCACTAATTTAAACGCAACAGAAGTGGGATTTAACATTACTACAGGGAACAATGTGTAACTTTAGCCTGATTACTGTTTCTCACTTACAAAGCAACCTTGGGAGAGAAAATTTGCAAAAAAAGGTGGAAAGGATCTTAAGCTTTTCTCTTTCTTTTCTACCCCCCCCCCCCACTATGAAAGGAATTCTTTCTGCAATTCCTACAAACATGTTCATCTTGAAAACCTGGGTCTGGAATACTGCTAGGTAAAGGCAGCATAGTAGTTTGGCATGAAAATGGGCTGAGGGGAATTGGCTTAAGCTAGCATACATTGATCAGAAAAGAACTCTTAGTCACAGTAGATAGTTCACTGAGAAAAAATCAGTGTGATGCTGTAACAATTGCAGATTTTATGTTAGGAACTATTGAGAAAGGAATTAAAAGTGGAATTTTCACCATTTGCATTTATGCAATTCTATAATGCAATCAGTGTTAGATTAACATCTATAGTACTAGTTGTTACACTTCTAAAAGCATACGGTATAATGACATTAAAGGTGCAAAAACAAAAAAGAAAACTCTGTGAATGGAACAATCTTCTTTTTATAGAAAGGAACAGTTAAGCATAGGGGGAAAAACAAATATAAGAAGAAACATTAAGGTGAATAGATTTTGACATAAAATAGAGAAAGTACTCCAGAATGTTTCAGAACAGCAAGCCTAGGAAGATCAATGGGAGACACCTGTGGCTGGGAAGCTGTCTGGATGTTGCTTGCTTAAAATAATGCTAGATTATGGTTGGTCACAAAGTCATCCAGATGTTTAGACTGGATCTGGCATTTTTATCCACCTATTGAGGCCTTCCCAAGGATCTGGGATAAGCAGATGTTGTTTGATGCTGTTAAAAGTATTGTCAAAGGATGGAAGCTATTCCAAGTAAAGCTACTTTTTGCAATTGAGTGAGGGTGATTTTGTCAATGCCAATGGTGTTGCCAGTTGTATTCCAGATGTTTTGGGATTGCATTCAAGGTGCCTATTGGTACTATGTTTGCTTTCCTATGCTACTGTTGCTCTACTTCTGTTTGCAGGTTTTTGCATTTTGTGATTTTTTTCCAGTTCTTTCTCTGTAACTGGATTATTATTATCATTATACTTTTAGTCTGATTCAAAAGAGGTTGTATTTTTCTTTTTTATAAATTTACCAAAATAGCAGCAAAAATATGTAAATTTCTTCTTTAATTTATCTGAGAAGACAATAACAAAAGATATAGAAAACTTTAAAAATTGCCTTGTGAAATAGCTGCATTAACAACTTGAAATAAACTGAAAATTTGTTCAGGGAGAAGAGAACTATTCTCACATTTAAATTATTTTAATTTTTTAAATAGCTTGCTAAAATGTGGAGAAGACATTCAAATGAAATCATTTTCACAGTTTCCATTTTGAGGGGGAAGTTGTGATATATTAGTTTAGCACGGATTATAAGGCATAGGCACATTTACTTTCAGATCATGAGAAAATAGGCCTCTTTAGAAATTTGCACAAAAATGATTGATTGATCCATCAGAACAAGGTAGAATAAAGCTCATACAGTTGTACTGGTGGTTATGATTGCTCCAAATTATATAGATTGTTAATTGATTTGGGGCATTTATGCTCTACATCAGGGATGTCAAACTCGTGGCACACGGGCAGGATGCATCGCATGCTGGCCATACCCACACCCATTTTAGCGAAGGGAAAAAGTAGTGATATGTCAAGTGACAACAACATGACGATGCGAGTTTGACACCCCTGCTCTATATTGACACAGTCAATGAAACATTTTCTCAAAAGCTGTGTTTTGAAAGATGTCAATGTATCCTGCTACGTAGGTAGATTAAAAAACTTGAGAAATATATGTTTAAAAGGTTAAGATCTTTATTTAATAAATGTTAATATACTTGTTTTTGCTACTATAATTGCTACTATTGCAGTTTGACAACAGAAGTATGCAAAGGAGAATAATTCTTAATTTCAATTATGTCACTTTTTCATTCTCTTTGTTTCCCACCAAGATCAGGTTCTGTTTGGAAACAATGCCCAAACTTGCTGTTAGAACTAAGGACAATTGTCAGATCATCCTAAATAGCCCTTCTGAGCATAAGGATTATATTAACTTCATTAATGAGGGAAATCTTTCATCATGTATGGTTCTTACATAAATAAAAGAAGGAAGCTGTGCAAAACAGTCTTCAAAAGAATTCATATGCAAAAGCATTTTTAAATATACAGGTTTAACTAGTACATAGGTTGCAACATGTGTTTCTGTGAGAAAAATGTTGGCATAGGTGTGAGTTAGAACATTTGATGGCATTCT